GAGCGACTGCGTCTCTCGGCTGGCCTCGGAATGCCTCGGCATTACCCCGGAGGAGCTCAAGGAAGTGTCTGGAGAGGGGGAAGTCTGGGCATCTTTGCTTAGACTGCTGCCCCCGCGACCCGGTTCTGGATAAGCGGAGGAAAATGGATGGATGGATGGAATCCTATTGTTCATGCAATGCCATAAATTTTAAAGTGCAATACTATATTTTTCAGTTCCAAATATCTGTGGCTGGGTTTTTGTATTTGTACAAATACTGTGGCCAGTTGTAATGCAGCATGTAAATGATAATCAGAAGCAAATTGCATGTTTGTCATAATTAATCTGAGGTTGTTGGTGATATGTTTTGTAAAAGGATATTTAATTAAATAAGATTTTCCTAATGTACTTGTACTTCTTTGTATGAAAACAAAGGAAAAACATGGAATTATTGTTATTTATAGGTAATTATGCTATGATTGTGCTGGTCCGGCCCACTTGACATCTAATTAGACTGTATTTGGACTCTATTGGTCAGTGTAGGTGTTTTTAAATTGGTTCTATTGTTGATTATTGTATTTATGGTTTTGATTGTTTAAATGTTTAATGTTTTTGATTTGTATTGAAATTTATGTATTGACGACATGTGTTGTTGACCTCTTGGCCAGGTCACCCTTGTAAAAAAGATCGTGATCTAAATGGGTTTTTACCTGGTTAAATAAAGAGAAGTAAATGTGGCCCCTGAACTAAAATGAGTTTGACACCCCTGTTTTAAAGGGTTTGACAGGGATTTTAGTATTTAATTTGAGTGAAATTGGAGTGTGGTCACTGATTATGACTGAATGAATTGTGGTTTCTGTTACATGTTGGGTTACTGAATAGCTTGAGAAAAACGTCGATTTGTGATAATGACTTGTCGAGGGAAGATTGATATGTATATTCTCTAGATGTATGGTTATTCATTCTCCAACTATCGTAATAGTGTACCATAATAGTTCATATATTGTGAATATATGGTAGAGCATATGACTTCTGTAGAATGCCAGTTTCTGGTGTTGGTGGAGTTGGATCAATCATTTTTAGGGTCTATAACAGTGTTAAAGTCTCCAGCAATGATAATGTTTGTAAAGTCATTCAGCAAAGAGAAAAAATTATGGAAAAAAGATGGGTCATCATTATTAGGGCCGTAAATGTTGGCAAGTGTGCATGTTGTTGTGTTGTATGTTGTGTGGTTAATCAAAACATTAACAATGATAAATCTACCTTCTAGGTCAATGATGGATGTGTTATGGACCAGTGAGATGTTTTTATACACGGTGCCGGCAGTCCACGTGTCGAAGTGTTCTTGGGCAAGACACCGAACCCCCCCATTGCCCCCAATGGTTAGAGCAGTCGGTTGAGGTGGCGCTGCAGATGGCTGCCATCGGTTCTGTACCGGAAACAAATTCCTTGTGTGTAACATACTTGGCCAATAAAGGTGATTATCCTTAAGTAGAATTGAGACACCTCACTGCCTGCTATTGTATGTTGATGAGAATAGTTTGTTAAATTGTTTAAATGTGAGGTTTTGTGATTCAGGATTTGTTAGGTGAGTTTCCTGTAAGTAGCATATATAAGCCTTTAATTTCATCAGGTCAATGATCTTGATCCTTTTGGCCTGGGCCGTTCGTTAATTTCCCATGGGAATTGGTCAGTGAGTCCATAATGTGTGCCTTTCAGTTCTTTTCCTTTGCTTTTGACGAGTTCTTTATGTTTGTAATGTTCCAGTTTGGTTATTATTGGTCAGGGTGTTGATCCAAGGCATTGTATACAATGGAAGGTGATCATGTTGACTGTGTCCGGTGGGATTTTTAGTTGATTCTTCATGAAGTCCTTAATCAGTGCTTCGGGGTTGTCGGGTGATTGTTCTGGAATGCCGGTAAGAATCAGGTTATTGCGCATGTTTCTTGTTTGAATGTCCAGTATCGTTTCTTTCATTATTCTGTTTTCTTTGACGGAGTCCATTTTTTCACTCAAGGTTTTGACGGATACTTGGAGAGAGTTGTTTGACTGTTCTAACTTTTCAATGTAATTGTGAGCAAATTCAAGACTTGTCTGGAGTTCTTTTATTTCCTCATGCAGTGTGACCAGTAAACCAAGTTTTTTATTGATGGATGCAAGAACACTGACCTCAATGTCTGTCATCTGTAGATCGCTTGTATCTGTAGAAGAAGTCTACTTCCATTTGTTTGGTTTTGGCGTATCTTGTTGGTTTGTACAGGCAGTATCCATACTGCAGTGAATGTAGTATTGGTCGATGAATGATTCTAGGTCTGATAAATCCTCCAGAATGTGAAAGGTCCGTTCTGGTTATTGGCAGCAGCTTGCGATTCGGATGGATTGCTAGTGTAATACCAGTAGTGGGTTATAAAGTCCCCCAAAAGAAGAGAGGGAATTAATATTAAATTCAAATTATAATGTTAGGTGATTGCTGACTGAGGTCAGATGGCATGAAACAGAACTTTACTGCAATGACAAAATTAAGCAGTTGACTTGCTAGAATTTACCACAGTTCACACAATTATTACTGATGTTGTGTTGAGACAGTCAGCTGACTTATGATGCATCTGTAACTGCTGTAGCTTGGTATCTATCATGCAGATACACCCACGCTCACATCAAATCTCCCTCTCACAAGACTAAGAGGGAGGGGGACAAGTTAGAGCCAGATGAAATCAAACGACGGCTGACTCAACCAATGGAAAGCAGAGCTGCTTTGTATGTTGTGTTAGCCCCGTTCCACTGGGCTAATCAGAAGCACATCAGTCACAAAAGTACTACAAGTGAAATGACAGGAACAATGGATAGCAGTGCTTTCAGTAGGCATGTCAGGCAAATTTAATCTGTCCTACACAAATAACTTATATGGACTCTCACTGAACGTCAGCCTATGTCATCCATCCATCCATCCATTTTCTAAACCGCTTAGTCCCAAATGGGGTCATGGGGAGCCTGTGTCATGATGAGTAAATAAGAGCAGGCAAGCTGAGGGATTGACTAACTGTAGTCAGACAATCTACTTGTCTGAAGGAAACATGATTGCAATAAAAGAAAAGTCTGACCGCATATTCCTCAGAGGTCTCTTAACAACCACCTACAACCAGGCAAAAAGCAGCATAATCCACACTTCGTTTCCAGGCGAACTTTACTTGATATTTAGATACAAGATGTTGATTTAAGGCACACAACAAGATCCACAGAAAGGAAAAGGCACAAAATGTCATACGCCCGCTGTGTCCCCTGAAATTAAAAAGCTGATCACAAGCATTTAAAAGTTCACTGTTCAAAATTCAAGCTGGAGATTTCATAAGTCAGGATAAGACTGTACAGTTGTTTTGTGAAAACCTCCCATTCCCTATTACACAGTCTTGACCGATGATAAACCATTGATTTGTTCTTCTCTTTAGCCACTAGATTCTCGATTACACAGACAGCAGGGATCATTAAGACAAACTTGGAAACATTGATCACACTGCGAAAAACAGGCACTCTTCACTCTTTGACACATGTACATGGAATAATGGTACAGTAACAAAGGCCATGCGGCTGTCTCACAAACCGTGGTAAAATGGAACAGAGGGTGCATTACAACCGCCTCCCATCATATTGAAACGATAACACCATATTACCCACAGAAAAAGATATGGTACAGTGAAAGGAAGCCAGCGGCTTGGGGCAAATGATTAGCAACAGTATTAATAGGAAGTGTTGTTGCCTGAGAAGATTTCGTTATGAAAAGTGACTTGGACAGTTGCATCCAACTTTTCCTATATCAACCATTACTGTATGTATGTATGTATATATATATACATATATATATATATACACATATACATATATACATATATACACACACACATACATACATATACACACACACACATACATACACACACTGGTATTCCAATTTAACTTCCCAGTGTGACGAGGAGGGGGACAGAGCCACGAGAAAAACCTAATTAATGGTGGGACAGCTAAAATGAGCACACACACGCACGCACGCACGCACGCGCGCACACACACACACACACACACACACACACGTGTATATGTATGTATGTATACACATATACATGCACAAAAAAAAGCCAAACTCTGTGAAAGGATATCTGGCAGGACTGTCTTTAAGTGCGTTGAGGAACCCATTTCGGTGAGATCCTGTGAACAGACAGAGTTTTCATTAGACCACTCATTATGCAACTGTGTTTGCCATTGCATACACACTGATTAGTATTAAACAGTACCCAATAAATGTGAAAACTTGTATCAGATTTTGGGTGATACACCCTCCAGAGCCAGAACCTGCAGCAGATCCTCTGTTGGCTCAAGTTAAAGTTTCACCAAGAGGAATTGAGCTGGGCGGAGTGCACCCACTTAAACTGGCATTCCAATTTAACTTCCCAGGGTGACGAGGAGGAGGACAGAGCCAAGAGAAAGACCTAATTAGTGGTGGGACAGCTAAATGTAGCTGTAGGAGACACCTCTGTGGTTCCAATCAGCCAGACTGACCAGATAATTTGCTTTTTAGATGCCTTTGTTTAATTTCTGCAGTAAAATTCAACAAACCAGTTCAGAGAATGCAACGACATGTTCATTTTAAATTACTGTTTACAGAATAAACAAAATACAGTAATGAAAAGATGAGATTTCAGCATCTGAGGACTGTAAAAACATTTGATTTGAAGCATTTTCAAGCATGTTCTACCATTACTGTTAACATATGTCTACTGACAGCTTACAATATGCACAGATGATTAATTCACCGTGATGCTGTGTAGCTCACTCTGAGCTGCACTGGGAGAAAAAAAATACAAATGAATTTAAACTGCTGTGCCAAATCTGACAGTACTCAACACAGCACAGTTAGAACCAAAGAAAAGAGAACAAACTCAGGAAAGTATTAATCAGCACTACAATTTTCTACCAGCTATTCTTGGCCCATATTTCCCACTACAATACTGATTCACTGACTGTCACACACACACACACACACACACACACACACACAGAAGGCGAGCCCAACAGTCCACTGGCTGCTCCCAGCTGGAAAGATGGTAAAAAGCCAGATCACTGCAGCTTTTCACAACGCCCACTTACAACCTGCTGGCTTGAAACACACCGAGAGTGCCGGGAGGAGGAGTGTGTCTCTGTTCCGTGCCTGAGAGCACAAGTCCTTTTTCTTTCCCTCCAGATACTTACGTAAAATGATGTGTGTAATGACGAAGGCAAAAATAAAGATGGTGAGGAAGGAGAGTGAGAGGATGAACATGTAGAAGAAACGGTAGTTCCTCCTCCCCACGCAGTTTCCAACCCAGGGACAGTGGTGGTCAAAACGCTCTGCGTGGACACAGAGAGACAGATGCAAGAAGAAAAGTTTATTTTGGATCCATGGATGCACATCTAGAGTCTTTGTCATGCACATGCATTCATATACAATTCATATAACTATACTTTGCTTAGAAATTTCTCAAAAAGATGTCTAGGTTTTCTAAAGTTTTGATTAAGAAAACCCGGTTTCTCATTTACAAGAAAAATCTTAAAAAATAAAAAAATAACCCAGTTATTTCAGAGCATGTAAACAGAGTGTGAATTCTGAGCTGTGGGAAATTAGGAGAAAACGGAAGTATCCATTTGGCTCTTGGCATATTATACAATATTTTCACATGGTACAAACTGGATATTTTTTAACTACTAGCTAATAGAAGTTAGAAGCTGGCCAACATGGCTGTGTATGGCTGAAAAACTCTTCCCTTCTCAAAGGGGCTCTGTGAGGTTGAAAGAAGCACTTTACTGGGTGAACAGATAAAGTGGCTCCAATAGGACCTCAATTTGAAAAGGTCTGAGGACAAAAGAGTAGGTAGTCAACTAAACGCCCCTAAAGATTATGCATCTGAGAAAGACTTGGGTTCTCTAACATGTTAACTGTGACACAAACCTGCCAGCCATCTTGGTCTAGTGTGTGTAACTGAACAAAATGTTAATATGCAGCACAGAGCAGCATCTTATTGTACACCTGAACCTCTGTTGCCTAAGTGGATAAAATGTCTAGAATTCAGAAATACCTCTTGCAGTGTATTCAAAACAAAATCTGTATCTGAACGCATTGTGAAGTGTTCAGCTGCTTGAGAAATTGAATGAGCATAGCTTTCAGATGAAAATGACTTGGTGAGATTTTATTCACTGCAACCATGAGCAGCCCCAGAGCACTGATCATTTCACTGATTGCTGCAAGAGTGGAAATCTTATTGTTAGTATGACTGTTTAATCAGCTCCGGCTATGTAGTCATATCTAGAGCAGTAGCTACTTAACTAATAATATAAGCTATTATTTGTTTTGTATTGTGAAATTATCTGCTGTTGTTTTCACTAGTCAATGCCTGATTGAAAATGTGGCTGGGAAACACAGCCGTGAGCTAGACAAGACTAAAGGGGACAGCTACTTTACTGCTAGTCTAATCTGATTATGAGCACTGCCTGCCACAGTGGTCATTAATATTATGTGACTGACAATGCCAGGAGAGGAGGATTTTTTGTGTTTGTGTTTTTCTCTATGAAGCAATGACCCAGGAAATCCACTGACATTCAAGAAATATGAGAATAACAATTAGTCTCAAAAATGACAGGAGCATATCTGCTGTTTCAACTTTTCAGATTAACTTCCCAACTCATCAGGAGGAGACGGAGGTACTGTGGTGGGAACACTGGCTACACACCAGCTGTGGCAGCTTATGATCAGTAGCATCACACCTCCAGTGATGATTCTAAAGTAAAACCTAAAGCTCCAAACAGCAACTCTTACAGGTTCATTAAGATCTAATATTATTCTGATTTATGCGCCAATATTCTTTTGATGGATTTAATTGTTTGTTTACAGAACAATGTCATTTTCCCAAGAGGTTTGTTAAAGCTTCCTCTAAAACAACCAAACAAAGTTTATTTATATAGCACCTTTCTAAACCTGCGTTACAAGGTGCTTTCCAGTAAAACACAAACAAATAATAATAATGATACCTAAGACCAGATAAAACACATCTAGACAATAAAATAACAAGAAAAATACATAGACAAAACAAATACATCAATCAGTAAAATTGTCAAAGGCCCGTAAATAAAAATGCGTTTTGAGAAGTGATCTAAAAACAGTCAGGTTTGGAGCAGATCTAATCTCCTGTGGCAGACCATTCCACAGTATAGGAGCCCGAACTGAAAAAGCCCGGTCTCCCCAATGTTTCTGTCTGGACTTCGGCACTTTCAGGAACAACTGGTTCGAAGACCTAAGTGTCCTTTCTGGAGTATAAAAACACACAAGCTCAGAAATATATGAAGGTGCCAGACCATGTACAGCCTTATAGACAAACATTAACAATTTAAAATCAATCCTAAAACAAACAGGAAGCCAATGTAGTGAGGCAAGAACTGGAGTGATATGCTCATGACGTGGTGTATTACTTAAAAGACGAGCTGCTGCATTTTGGACCAACTGGAGTTGGGACAATAAGGCTTGAGAAATGCCAGTATAGAGTGCG